CTGATTAACTATTACTGCCGCTTCATGCCAAAGTGTGCGGGAAGTCTGAGTCCTTTGACCGATCTTTTGACGTCAAAGCCAAATGGTTTCATCTTTCGGCCACCATTCTTGAAGCAGTGGAGGCAGCCAATGAAGCACTCGCGAATGTCAATATGCTACATCGGTTGAGCACCAATAATAACTCCAGTTAATCATTACCACTGATGCGTCCAACGTTAGTCTCAGCGCAGTCCTGCATCAACAGGTGAGCAACCAGTTGCAGCGACTAGCCTTCTTTTTACAGAAACTTCTACAGGTGCAGATTCGCTACAGTACTTTCGCACGCGAACTTTTTGCTATCTACCTGGCCATTTGACACTTTCGCCAAATTTTGGAGGGCAGAGACTTCCGGGTATACACGGATCACAAACACCTCACACCTCAAGGCCACAAATCCTATCGGTATTCGCCCCGAGAAGTGCGCCATCTCCCAGTTCACTTCAGCCATCGATCATGTTCTTGGCAAAGACAATATTGTCGCCGATGCTCTTTCCCGTCCAGACGTCAACATCCTTACCACCGAATTCGACATGGTGAAGTTAGCAGAACTGTAACCGCATGATGAATTCATCGCTGAAGTGTTCGCGTTTTCTTCACTTCAACTTCACGATGCTTCACATCCAGCATCCCCAGGTACGATCGTGTGCGACTAGTCCGCAGGTACTCCTCGTCCTGCTGCACTACAGTCCTACCGTAAGGTTGTATTTGATCCCTTCCACACATTGTCAGATCCAGGTGTTCGCGTTGGTTGCAAGCTTATCTCGGCAGCATTACGCTTTGGATTAGGCAGTGCTTAGCCTGCCAAAAGAAAAAAGTCCAGGGTCATAAAATCTCTCCTCCAAGAACCTTTGTGGTACCAGACGTGGGTTTTTAGCATGTCCACCCGGACCTCTTCGGACCGTCACCTCAGTCACACGCCTATACTCACACTTTGACCCCTGTCGATCGCTTCACATGATGGCCCGTGGCTGTTCCTGTTTCGGATACCTCGGCAGACAATATTGTCATAGTATTCCTCAATCGTTGGACATCCAATTTCGGTGTGCCAGCCACACTTACTGAGGTCAATTTCAATCCAACCTCTACCGTGAGTTCACCAAATTGCTTGGGTGCGTGCATATCACAACCACTGCATACGACTCTGCTTCCAACGGCGTTGTTGAGCGTCTGCACAGTCAACTTAAGTCTGCCTTGATGTTTCATCCTGGTCCAACCTCTTGGAGCGAAAACCTGCCTTTCGTACTCTTAAGCATTCGTGCAGCTCTCAAGGAGTACATTCACTGTGCCATCACCGAGTTTTTTTATGGCATACCCCTGCGCCTGCCTTGTGAATTCGCGCACTCTTCTTCTGTCGATAATGGCATATCTAACAACTTCGTGCAACAGCCGAAGTACCAAATTTCTCAACTGCGTCAAACTCCCACGTGTTCGACACCCAGACGTGCGTTCGTGCACGACGACCTGAACACTTCCCTCTTCATTTTCGTTCACATGCTGCTTTACTCATCGTACGACGGTCCCTACAAAGTACCGCAACAAAAGGATATTTCTTATGCCTTTCAATATAGTGGCAAGACTGACACGCTTTCCGTTAACCAACTTAAGGCAACATAAGTTGAACGTGCCACCCCGACGTATTCGTTTTCATGTAAATCTGAAGGATTTTGTGGCGGTATCTGTTTTTCTTTTCTGGTGAGCATCTTCTTCTAATGCCAACGCTCTGGTGGGGGTTGTGTAGGTCTCTTGTACTTTTTCCATCTTAGATTCGGAACTCTTATATCTGAAGTTGCTGATGTGCATGTACGTATATTGTTGTTTGAATAAACTCACTTCTTTTTGGAATTATTCA